AATATTTGACTACATTTCTGAACAGGTAGAAAGTAAGTTAACATTTTTCTTTCCAAAGTTTAGTTTCAAAAGACCGACACATCAAATATTGGGTCCAATCGTTGTCTATTATTTAATTATAATCAGTGACACATGATATCCAATTCATTACAAGATGATTTACATTTTTTCTTCTCTTGCAAGCATCTTTTTTTGCAAGTGAATATTTCCATAACAGTGCCATATAATGCAAACAGAGTTATTCAATATCGTACGGATTAAATATTCCTTTAACCAGTAACATTTATTACCAACAATCTGCCAGTTTTAATTTATGCAAATCCTTACATTTCCTCTGTCATGGAAATTTTCAAACCATCAATATTTCTAGTAATCCCAAAGCACATTCATCAAACGCCAGTTCAGAGGTCGGAAAATGAGAATTCAAAGGAGAGAAATATAAAAAAATAATTTGAATCGCACGAATTGAAAACTGTTTGAAATTGATCAACTCATCAGTTCAAAAAGAAGCCTTTTCCGACAAATGGGTTGGATAAATCACCAGTCCTATATTCCGGAATGCAGCACTGAGATCAAAATTTACTAATACCATTATTAATTAATACAATTAGTCCCCATGAAGGCTATCAAATCAAATCACTTACTTTATTGCCATAATATAATTCATTATTAAAGGCCATCTTCATCTGTTACTTGCAACATCTATTGCTGCTTTTTTTTTCTTTTTCCTCCTTTTTTTACAGAAATTCACAATTTCAAAAGGAATATAGCTTGAACGAGATTCTGAATGCACGTGTAATTCACGATTTTATGGCTCTTCTGGAATACATGTAGCTTAAACGATAATTGAATTAATAAAAGTAATAATTATTAAAATTTAAAAGTGACAATATGGTTAAGTCCTACTATATGTGCGAGATTATTTCGTGTTTGCATTGCATTATACGTTTGCATCCAGTATGTCTGCATCAACAATTGACTAACCGCTTAAAAACGAAAAACCAAATATTTCCATAACAATGCCACAAAATGCAGACAGAGTTATTCAATACCGTACGGATTAAATATTCTCATAACCAGGAATACAAATAATCCGATAGTTTCAATTTATGCAAATATTATATTATCCATGTCATTGAAACTTTCAATCTCTCACTATTTCTAGTAGTCCGAAGGCGTATTGATCGACTGCTAGTTCAGAGATCGCAAAATGAGAATTCAAAAGAGTGAAATATAAAAAAATAATTTGAATTGCATGAATTAAAATCTGTTTGAGCTTTTGGTCGTTTAATTCCAACCAATTTGAAATAAAAAGCTTCCATACAAGCATTTCTGCCATTTCAAAAATTCTGTACTACGCGTTGTTCACTGTATCGATGGCATGCATCATTTGGTTCAATCTTCTGCTATGTATCGCTTCAGTTCAAAATATTCCAGGTAAGAAATATTCATTCCATGCTCAACGGAAGGTCCACAGTAAGGGCATACTTTCCTAACACATGAAACGATCACAAAGTTCATTAAGCCAACAAAGTCACTCGGGCAAAGAGTATTTCTCAGAAAACCTTAACATTTACGACAATTTGGACGATTTAGTACTAATTGCTTCCGATACAGTTGCACATAACAGTGAATGGGAAATACTAGTGGACAATTACTGGATGTTGAGGTCAATTGCAATTAGTGGACAATTATTAGTAGTAAAGAATTATATAATGATATATCGTTTTATTCCTTTTTACTTTACTGCTTTCACTCCATTCCGCGAAGCTGAAAATGAAAGCAGTAATTAATCTATAATCGAAACTGTTCTCGCCCATACCAAGGAATGCACAACTATCCGCTGTACGGGATTCCATCAGATGTAACATTAAGACTTGGTTTCTGTCGCAAATGTATGCAAAAAGTTGAATACTTTCGCGTATTTCACGTATTTTAAATTGTTTGGAATGTGAAGATTGTTTTATGGGATTGATATCTTCTTGATCAGTTTCCTAAATGAGTCAGCTAATTACCAAATGCAGTGATTGCAAAACAAATTATAAACACAAATGTCATAACAGTTGTTTTTCAGATGTAAAAAAGTATGAGTGTCCACATGTGGACTGTAATGCGGCCATGCAGGACAAGGGTGAATATGACAAACATTTCCGAACGCACGATAAACCATTTCGTTATCAATGCAAACTTCCCGGTTGTGGGAAGGAATTCCACAAATCATGCTCATTTTCTAGACACAAGAAATTCTGTCAACACAAACCTCCGAGTAAATACTTCTTCAGTTTTAAACAATCACTGAGAAGACAATAAATATTCCCGCAGAGCTTCTCAGTTTTGCAAATTCGGCAAAGTTTTCAGCATTTATTTGTCTACTTGAAATGGATGCATGTGAAACTATATTGACGAAATATCTGTGACTATAGAGGCACTCCCATTGGCACAACGAAGTGATGTCTAACAAATGCTCATTTTGTGCCCAACGAAATGAAATCCATACTTGCGGCACACTTTAGTAGACACACGGAACCATCACAATGTCGGTCAAAGTTCATTAAGTTAGCAAGACCATTCGGGGTATGAGTATTTCTCAGGGAACGTTAACATCCATAGCAACTTGGATTTAGCACTAGTTGTCTCAGATACGATTAAATATTACAGTAAATGGGGAAATACTAATGGACAATTAACGAAAACAAACAGTAGAGAATTATATATAAACATATCATTTTAATCCCTTTCATTTTACTGCTTTTACTCATTTACATGAAGTTCAAGGTATAAGACACAAAGGATCCGAATCCGAAGCTGATCTCATTTCAGCAAAACTTTCAGATCGTTTTGAATCCCGAAATCATCGTTTTTAAAAAAAAAATGATAATTTTCAAAATTACCCTCACTCGATATTTTTTCAACACTGAGAACGAGCGTTTTGTTTTAAAAAAACATACGGTAAAAAAGTGAACAACATCTCGTAATTTAAGTTACTTTAAATGTGATTTAATAGGTCAATGATGCTAATACAGCATTTTTCAAATTATATTCATTAATTAGCGTATAAAATGATATTTTTAAACACAAACGTCGTAACAGTTTTTCAGTTGAGCGAAAGCATAAATGTCGTTATTGTACTGCAACGATACAGATGGGAAAGGAATATTCAAAACATCTTCAAACGCACAAGGAACAAGGTTTATATAAATGTACTTGGTCTACATGTGGAAAGAAATGCCGTACCCTAAAATTACTTCGAGAGCATTACGAGAAACATCAACCTAAACTTCAATGCGAAATCTGTGGCTCTTTCTTATCTTATAAGAGAGCACTACGAGAGCACAAGAAACAATACCACGGAATTAGAGGTTAGTTTTTCAATGTGTTTATGTTTAGCAAAAGAAGTTTTCAACGTGTATGTTCACATAAAAATATGTTGTAAAACATTAACGGCAGTGAAGTACAATTCAATACTTACTGTAGTGTTTTTCTGACCTAAGTAGACAACTGCTTGTCGTTTATCGCATTTGGTGTTTGGCAGTTACTGATATGACAATGGACGGAGTGACGGAATTCAAGCAATTAGCTCCTTACAGTCCGGTGAATTTAAATGCTATTGAAGAACGATAACAACAACGTCATCACAATAATGAAACGAATATTCTATTGCATTCCTTTCTATGTTTTCATCGGTTTTTTAACGCAGGTTTTTCACTACAAGCAAATGCGTGAAAAAACAAAGTACTTTATTTGATCTATAAAACCAAACAACCACTGACAGCTTACTTCGTTTAATGAGATAATTTTAGGCTCGGCTGAATGAAATCTGCATTTGGGACATACTTTAGTAGACATACGAAACCATCACATTTTCGGTCAAAGATAATTAGGTCAACAAGACCACTCGGACAATGAGTATTTCTCAGAAAACTTTACATCGTCAACAATTTGGATTTAGCACTAATTGGCTCAGATACGGTTACATATGATGGTAGATGGGGAATATTAGTGGACAATTACCGGGAACAAGTAGTAAAGAATTATATAATGATATATCGTTTTAATCCCTTGCGCTTCACTGCTTTCACTCAATTGTGTGAAGTTAAAAAAACAAGCAGTAATTAATCTAAATCGAAACTTTTCTCGCCCACACCAAAAAACTCCCAAAAAAAAATTATAAACAACAAAGATTGATTATAAACAAGAAAATTATAAACAACAAAGAATCCCAAATTCGAAGCTGATCCCATTGCAACGAAAAATTCAGAATTACCCCTCATCTGACATTTTTCCATCAGAGGAAGATATTGAGAATGAGCTTTTTGTTTTGTTTTTTTTTAAAAAAAAACATAAGGCGAAAAAATGAGGCACATCTCGTAATTTAATTCAGTTAAATTGTGACTTGATAGGTTTGATAAATGATCCTGATGCAATTATTCAAATTACATTCATTAATTGGCATATAAAATGGTACTTGCAAACATAAACGTCATATCAGTTTTTCAGTCGGGCAAAAGTATAAATGTCGTTATTGTAACGCGACCATGCAGACGAAAGAGGAATATTCAGAACATCTTGAAACGCAAAAGGAATATAACTGCACTTGGCTCGGATGTGAAATGAAATTCTGTTCCCGATCGGCACTTCAACAGCATCATAATATACATCAACCTAGACCTCAATGTGAAAAATTGTAGGCTAATCTCTTT